TCTAAGTTTGTCTTCAATAGTAACACTTATGTACTGCTATGATTTTAATTGTTTTTAGTTTAGATATGGTGCACCCCGATGTTTTCCTAAAACAAGTTGTTTCTCCGATTTTTCAAGGTGTTGTTGTTTCTCCGAATGTCCAAGGTGTTTTTGTGAAGATGGTAGATGTTGGCAACCAATTTAAAAACAAGCAAGATTTTGAATCTCGTGATCAAATGCTTCAATGGATTCATATAGAGGTCTCTAAACTTGGATTTTGTGTGGTTATCAAAAGGTCCGATAATGGTTTGGATAGAAGATGCGTTTTTGTGACAATGACTTGCAAACGAAGCGGGAAATATACAAACTCCTCTCCGAAATTTTAAAAGAGATGATACCGATTCAAGAAAATGTGAGTGTTTGTTTAAGGTGTGTGGTTACATGTTGGCAAATAAAAACTGGAGATTTAATGTGATATGTGGTTTGCATAACCATAATTTATGTTTAAAATTAGTCGGTCATCCTTGTTTTTGTCGGCTCAAGCCGGAAGAGAAGGAATGTGTTACTGACATGACCTTAAAGCTTGATCAACTGAAAAATATACTTGCAACATTGAAACAAAAATGATCCAAAAATATATCAAATATCAAACAAGTGTATAATATTCGATACCTCACTAACAAGGCGATTAAGAGGATAGAACTAATATGCAGCAACTCTTGAAATAGTTGGATGATAACAATTGTGTGTCTAGGTACCGAACATGCAAAGACGGAGTTACTGTTGGAGATATTTTTTGGACTCATTCTGGTTCCATAAATATGTTCAACATGTTTCCTACGTTGCTCATACTTGATTCAACCTATAAGACCAATAAATATAGAATTCCATTATTGGAGATGGTTGGTGTTGTCTAAACTGAGAAGATATATTCTGTTGGTTTTGAATTTCTTGAGTGTGAAAAAGAGGAGAATTCTACTTGGGCCTTAGAGGTGTGTCAGACACAATTAAAGGAACAAGGTGAGATGCCTAAAGCGATTTATCGACCGTGATACTACATTGTTGATTTTGGTTGCAAAAGTATTTCCTTCTTCTTATGCATTACTTTGTAGGTATCACATGATAAAGAATGTGAGAATTTGGGTTAAACCTACGATAGGGACGAAACAAATCAAGTCCGAAGATGGAAAAATGGTTAAGGTGGGTGTAGTCGTGGAAAAAATAATATATGCATGTAATCATATAATAAACTCTTCCACAAAAAACTATATGTCGATTATGTTATGCATTTCAAGAAATTGTGTGAAAAGTATCCAAATTTGTTGAAATATGTTGAAAGCATAATTCTTGACCAGGTGAAGGAGAAAATTATTTGTGCATGAACTGATAATGTTAGACACCTTGGAAATACAACAAGTAATAGAGTTGAGTCTACCCATGCTACTTAAACAAATTGGTTGGGAAATAGTAAAGGCGATTTGTGTAGAGATTGAGACTCCGTGAACCACATGATTCAAAACCAACATAATAAGATACAAACATCATTTGGATGGAGCATCATAGTTTTGGAACATAAATTTAAAGACAACATTATATATTCTCAACTGGTCGGTAACATTTCTCGGGCAGGTTTGAACTATATTTTTACGGGGCTAAATGAACTAATAATGTAGACTCCGATAGCACAAAGTGTGGATGCACAATTGTGAAAATATGGTCCCCCATGTGCTTGTGTTATTGCTAAAAAGGTGAAACTTGGCGACCCAATAATAATGGATGAGGTTTGTACTCATTGGAAGAGACTTATGTTTGATAATGATGGTGTCTCGAATGACGATAAATCAAATATCTCTATTTTGACCGAATGGGAAGTGATACAAGAGAGATTTTTGAAGGTCGATGTCAACATGAAACTCCACATCAAAGAACAATTGAGGAAGATTTCCTATCCGAAAACCACTGACATGAAATCACCCTTTCAACCGATAAAAACAAAAGGTTCTCTAAAGAAAATGAAGCCGACACCGAATGACAATTCGACTACATGGTCTCCTTCATATTTTGAACATGTTGACAGAGTTTTTCCCGACTCACCAACTCTGAAATCTCAAAAAAGTGTTGTCAAAGGAGCTCGCATTAGCAAACTACCTCCTACGCCGCCTCCACCAAATCTTCTATTTATCAATGAGATGGTGATTTTTATGCACAAATATATCGAGCGGATCGTCAATGTTGTCGGGGACGGTAATTGCGATTATCAAGCCGTTTCGGCTTTACTCGATAAAGGAGAAGATAGTCATAAAGTGGTACACCAACAACTTATCCAAGAATTGAAGACGCATAAAGAATCATACACATGGTTGTACGGAATTAAAGAAAAATTCGATGAAGTTTTTGAGTATCTTGTTCCTTACTTGAGCGGTTCGGCACCGGAGACAAAATGGACGTGCTTACGTGAAATAGGTCACCTAATAACATGTGCGTATCATAGAGTGTGTGTTGACCTGACACGCTACAATTTTTTGGAGAACTTTTTCCCATTGCGCACCGCCCCACCTCAAAATCTAAATGATCGTATTATGTGTATTGGGTGACTTTCAAAATCCAGTCATTTTGTTCAAGTATACTTGAAACTGGGATGTCCTATACCACTTATATCAGCGGAGTGGATGACTCATTCAACCAAAAAAGCTGAGACTTGACCGAATCATTTTATGGAAAGGATGCAAGAATTCGAGAAATTGAACAATAATGAAAAAGAATCAAATGTACAAAAGTCTAAGTGGGTACCACCAATAAATTTATCCAACGACAAATTTTTTGATTCGTTTTAATTTTTTGTTTATTCGAACAAATAAATGTATGTAATTGTGTCTCAATATAAATAAAGTGTAATATATTCAACATTTGTTCATCTTGTGTCTTAATGCATTGATTGATCTTCCCTATATCAAATTTGTGCTTTTGTAAAAAAAAAAGGTTATATTTCAATTGTTCTGTTATGAAACTGATTCAGGAGAAGTTCCAGAGATGCATCTTAGAAATAAATGTGTTTGCTAATGAGTGGTACAAATTAATCTATGACTTCTATAAATGTATCAAATGTCACAAATAAACATCTATTGGTATGTGACAAATGTCTCCTTCTCCGGCTCTATATCCTGACAAACATTTAAGCTCACCGATTTCACCTCCCTCGAAGATATCAAAGACGAAATTCACTATCTCCTACCTTACGAAGACAATCAAAAGATTGTGAATCTCGAGTACTGTTCACCATCAATTGACGATGAAGGGAAGATTGAGTTCAACAAATTTGAGCTCAAGACGCAAGATGTTAGAGTTATGTGGAATACGTATTTCTGTTTTGAAGAAAAAATTCCGCTCAAGTTGGAAGCGATGATTTCAAAATTGGTCGAAGATATTGCAAGGATGTTGAGGCATTTATTTGATATTGAAATGTAATGTTGCATTTTATATTGAAATTATCTATGTAATGCTTATTTTATATTATTAATGTTAATTTTATTTTGGAAAATTGCTTTTGTATTGATTCTGACATTGGTGTTTTTTCGAAAATGTAACTACAGAAATGTTCCGGAGATCCATTTTCAAAATAAAAATAACCCAAATTATAGGGTGTCTCTCAAAATAGTATTGCTCGAGTGTGTAAGAGGTGTTTCTGGAGATGCTTATCCGAAAATAATGAACATATGTAAAAATTCACGCAGTACAGTAAAAACATTTAAAATGCGTTAAGAAATTCTATATATAAATAAAAAAAATAAAAAATATGAAGAAGGAAAGTACAGTATGAATAGAAATAAACAAGTAACCCAGTGGCCATAATTATGGGAAGCACTACATTCACGTTAACCGCTCAACTCTCATTGCTTTATGCCTGTAAATATTAATTTCTGTTCATGCTTTCTCCAACATCATCATTCATTGATACCATTAAAATATTGATTCATTCTCAACATTGATCCGAAGCTAAGGAGGAAATTAAGGATAGATACCATAATTCAAAAACACAAGCAAACATCTTTACTTTTAAATTTCGTCTAACAATTGAATAGCATTATTTATAAACTTAGCATCAATCTCTCCAATTTACTCTAACTTAATTAAAATTACATGACTATTAATATTTTGACACATGGTAAAGTTGTAATTGATTCCATTTAGCGACTTTATTAATTAAGGTGTGCATTAAAAAAAGTGATTCTCCGCGTAGTTGTTCTGTACTACCAGTATTGGTGTCTCCCACCACACCTTACACCAGCTCAACTTAACTAAGCACACTACTTCTTCTAGAATGTGATTAATAGCAGCACTTTTCCGGGCTATATAAACAATATACTCATAATTATAAGTTAAATCAACTTAATTCATAATTATACGAGACATCTTAAATAAGAATATAAATTCAAAACTGCGACAACTCTTTTGTTTTTTTAAAAATAAATTTCAGTCACTAAAATATTTATTTAAAAAAAACAATACGCACTTTTTAAATAATCACTTTTTATTAGCATGTGCGAGACAAATTCAACAATTGAACGGCGCATTGCAGCATTTCACATAGCTACCCTACCATCTACGTATACTGCCAACTCACAATTACCCACCGAATAATACAAAATCAACCACATTCAAATTGATTATTTTACTCACAGCTAAAATAGAAACTATACTAATATAACTAAACCAATTAGAATCAGGTATATAGAAACAGTTATGGAAAAAAAGATTATAAAATATTAAAAACTATACAAAGATAAAAATAAAAATAAAAATAAAAACAAAAATAAACATAACCCCCGTGATCAATAAAAGACAATAATCTGAAAATAAAGCTAGCCCACACCCTCACTCTTATCAACAACAACTCGAAAAAGAGTACCAGGTACTGTACTTTTTTTTCTTCAGTTGAAGCATCAAAATCAAAATTCAATCAACCCATTAACATTCTTAGATTTGATAATTGTAAACACTATCATAATAATAATAATTAACATTCAATAATCAGGCATTAGATGACTAATTTTGCCTTCTTCTAATGCAACTTTTCGATCAGTAACTTTTAACCAAATACAAACACCAGTAAAACTCAAAACAAGACTCGCTAATCCACTTCCTAATCCGATTCCAACAATCGCCAAAATCGATAAACCTTTACTCCTCATCGGCGGCAACGGATAACCGTAAAGATCCTTGTTCCCTTCAAACGAACTCGCGTTAAATTTCGGCAAGTTCGGACTACTCCGGTTCGACATCGAAATTGGGATCGGACCGGAGAGTCGGTTATTCGAAACATCGAAAGCCGATAATCGAACTAGTAAACCTAATTGCTGAGGAATTTGACCGGTAAGAAGATTATCATGAAAATCGATTACGTTGAGATAAGCACACAATGTGAGCTGAGGTGGAATCTCACCTTCGAGACGGTTAGACGAGAGATTCAGAACGGCGAGATTGACGAGTGATTGTAAATCCGGCGGGATTGGTCCGGTGAGGAAGTTGGAAGATAGGTCTAGGGTTTGGAGATTTGTGCAGTTGGAGAGGAAAGGTGAAATGGTGCCGCGGAGAGAGAGGTTGTTGAGGGAGAGTTTGTAGATTCGGCCATTGTTGCAGATTGCGCCTTGGAGATTTGAGGTTGATTCGTTGCAGGGTTTAGCGAAGGTTTGTTCGTTCCAGTTGTGGAGTGATTTGTTTGGGTCTTGTAATGATTTGCTTAATTCTGTTAGACATGTTTCGTCGCTTGGATCTGATAGACACTGTTTAAACGCAGCGTTTAGTAGGATGGAAAGAAATAACACTAACTTTACTAGTCTTTCTTCATCCATCTAAATCTTTTTCCAGTTTTTTCTTTCTCTGTGGAAGAGGATGGTGGAAATATGAAAGGATCTTTTGTTTTGTTGTTGTATTTACTATTTAACCCTTTTCTTCATTTTGTTGATAGAGTAATGAGAAAATGTGAGAGTGAGTGGAGGGTGAGAGAGAAAATGGATTTTATTTATATGGTTTGAATATTTGGAGATTATTATTACTAGTAATTATTTAGTGGGAAGGATTGTTTGGGAAGAAAGGGGCAGTTGTGAGAGGAAAGGGAAGGGCGCGTGCATGCGTGTGTGTGGGAGGGTGGGGAGAGGTTTGACGGAGTGAGTGTAAGTGAAAAGGAAGTAGGGAGAGTGGCGTGGGGCTTTTGGAGTTTGTGGAGAGCGATGACCTGCAAATGTGAGCTCTAAGATAGTGACAATACGCCAAACATATTATTGACTTTTTCAACAACTAACAATTTACTTAAATAATTAATTCATCTTATTTAATACTCCCTCTTCTTATTTACTTTATTTTCTTATTATATTTTATATTATTTAATTTAAATATTAACTTAATCTTTTATTATTTAAAATTTATCATAATTATATTGAAAAGAGTATAAGGGATGTTCAACCTAATATAAAGAAGAAAGATAAGAAAAAGAACAAAACAAATAGACTAAATCTAACAAGAACGAAAACACATCAAAGGATTATAAATCAATTTTAAAAATTAAGAGAATTTTTTATTTTACCCTATGCATTTCTACTTCATTATGTGAAATTTTAAATATCTTATCTGATTTCGAAGATACATTTTCGGACGTACCTAAAGTTCAGTGAACGTTGAAATATTTTGGAGATATATCTCCGGATAATTTAGAGCATAAGTCGCGTCAGACGCTTCTCGTCCCTCATTTCATAGTTTTCACACACCCTCAAACTCACCATTAAATCTCCTCAACACACTTCAACTTCACAACATCAAATTTCGCCAAACAAGGCTCAAAGGAACATCAAACATTATCAATAACATCATTTAACATCATCAAAACCATATATTTCAGGTAAAATTTTAGGTTTTAGATAAATATTTGAGTTTTAGTGTAAATGTGTAGAAATCAATGATTAGGGTAGAAATGTATAGGAATCACATGTAACATAGTTTAGACTTAGTGTATGACTTATTTGTTGGCTAAAAATGGCGATCAGATCATGTTTTTTCAACTTGCATGAGTCATATTACGTCATTGTCGCGACCTCTGAGTTGCAGAACTTTCTGGAGATATATCTCCGGAATAGTTCACCGTTTCATATACTTTAAGAATTTTTGGAGATGAATCTTCGGAACTCTTTAAAGTTAATAGTTTTATGGTGTTTCTAGAGATACATTTTTTGAATTGTTCAACGTTATTGTTTTATGATGTTTCCGACGATGCATCTCTGAAATTTCCTACAGTCTGTTTTTTTTTATAAAAATTTTCTTGTTTGTTTGTTTTGTTTGCATGCACTAATGATATGCCTTACTTTACCTTACATGCATAATGGCTGACAGAGTCGACAAACTGAGACATGGTAGGGTAGCTCAGTACGCATCTGTTTGGCAGGAGCGGAGTCAGCAGGTTTCAGAGACAACAAGTAACTCTGGTCAGGAAGAGGCTTCAACTTCTGGGGTGGAGTCTACTTCTAGGGATCGTGCTTCACCTCAGGACGCTCCATCCCAGTCCACTCCACCTTCTTCTTCTTCTCGTAGGAGATGGGATTCACCAGCTAACGCGTCACTTCCCCATCCTCCCGCAGACGTTATGATTCACTAGTGCCACCTCCTGCTGATCTAGTGCCATATCCCACTGATGATCCTGTTGATCCAATGCCACCTTTGGAGGGTGAGGTTGTTGCGGATGTCGAGCTAAAGAGTTTTGGAGGAGGTTCATCTGATTTGTCCTTACTTCCTTTATATCCAGGCCACACTGTGAAACATATTTAGGACGGAGAGGTAGCATTAGTTGGATTTTTAATTTATTTGTATGTTAATTTAAATTGTTGACATTGATTATTTTTGACATTGATTATTACTAACATTGATTATTACTAACATTGATTATTACTGACATTGATTATTTTTAGAAAATTTCAGGTGTGTGATCCCTAAAGGTTTCTGAACCATGGGAGGAAGATTGTTGGCTTAGCTCAGTCGGATGAGGATTGGTTTCAGTCAGTTCTGAAATTATCTAGTTTGAAAGACCTATGCATGACCAGATACACTCTGGTCAACCACGGGATGCTTAATGCATCCGTGGAGAGATGGAATTCTGAGACTTCTTCTTTTCATCTCCTGCATGGTGAGATGTCTATCACACTAGACGATGTCTCATGTTTGTTACATCTTCCAATCAGGGGGAGATTCCTCGATCATGGTAGAATGACCAAAGACGAGGCAATCAAGATGATGGTATAGCATCTAGGGGCTGATCTAGGGAAGACGATTGAGGAGCTTGATAGGACCAGAGGTACTCATGCTAGGTTTGAGTTCCTTAAGGAGAGATATGATGATGAGATTTGTTTCACAACAGGCTCATGGTGATGTTGAGCAGATAACCTTACACATGACTCATGCTTTGAGGGCATATTTTCTTTTTTTGGTTGTCACTTGCATTTGTGTGGACACGAGTGCCACTTATACTGACGTTGCATACCTCTGGTACTTCTTGGATCTTACTCAGATCCATGAGTACAACTGGGGGGCGGCTTGCCTGTGCTATCTTTATTCGAAGTTGAGAGATGGATGTCGGTGGAAGACAAAGCAGGTCACAGGGAGCGTGACACTACTGGTGGTAATTATTCTTTATCCTTGAATCTTTTTTTGTTGTCATTTTCATTTAATATTTGCGAAACCATTGCCGATAATTCTTGATCCTTGAATGTTTTTTTTGTTTTTTTTTTTAATATTTCAGGCTTGGATCCTCTAGAACTTCCCGCACATCACTGACTGGGAGAGTGTGGATGAGTACACTGGGGACATGTCTCATGCCTGTGCTTTTATCCTATTGAGAGGGAACTAAGAGGTCAAGCCTTTCAGAATTTACCTTGACCGTTTGGTTGTTGAGGACATGCACTTCAACAGCTACGTGCATCACCCGTCAAACACGGCCATTTGAATACATATCATTATACACTGGATGGTTGGCCTGCAGATCACGTATAACTGCTTTTCACCTATCCGAGTGCGTCATGTGGCAGTTTGTTTACACCCAGATCATCCCTAGACACCCTGTTGTCTCTGTTCCTCCTGCCTTGACTCATAGACAGATAGGGGAGATGTTTGTTGATTATAAGAGTCGTCTGGTTCTAGAGGAGGCACATGCTAACATAGCACTAAACGACTGGAGCTACATCGACAAATACATTAGGTGGTTCTTTAGGGTGTCACATTCATACATGGTGCAGACTGCTCTAGGAGATCCGCCGAGACCAGCTCATCAAGAGATACTTGAGGATGAGTAGGCTTATCTAGATCATACTGATGATGTCTTGCCTTAGTGTTGTTGCACAATGGAGATTACGCGGACATGGATTAACGAGGGTATCTTCCCTGAGGGGTCTGCTGTCAAGCGAGTCTTGGATGCCATGGTGGCGGAGGCACAAAGTACACTGTTGTACCAGAGACATTGTCGGAGGATGGGGGACTTCATGGCCGAAGAGGCAGGGGAGATGTTGTCATGCACACCCAGTAGTAGTTTGCTATTATTTTATTGTACTACTATACTCTCTATATTATTTTTACGGTTTTATCACATTTTAGATCTATATTGTAAGACATTTTCTACATATATTGTTATACTTCATTCAGTATTTGTCTCTTTATTATTTTATATGTCTATAACATTCAACTTGTGTTATAATATACTTTATCTAAAAACAAATACACAACTTATAGTAAAAAAAAACAACTTGTTCTGATACACTTCGAAGATGTATCTCCGAAAAATTATCGAAAATGTATCTCCGAAACAATTCAAATATAAATGGTGTCTGAGTGACATATTTTGAATGCTTAGAATGATTTCATAGATGTATCTTTGGAATATGTCAATGTTTGCTCAGAAATGGGGTGCGTCCGGAGATATATCTCCGAAATCAGAGGACATATATGGAAATTCACATGGGGAACCAAACAAGTCCCAAAAGAAAACTATTAGCATCCTAACTAGATCCTTAAAAAATCTCCTTTTTCTAAGATTGTAAGAATCAAAATGACTAAACCAACTAGCATTCTTACAGTCATCTACTAAAGCAATCCTTAAATCATTCCACTATAAGAAAGTGTGCCTATTATTGATAGAACTATGAGGGTCTAAATAGAGGCTTTTGATAACATTAAATCTGAAAGCAAGAATAGAAGTCCATAAGGAATTTAGTGCATTGAAAATTTTCCAACCATCAACCGAAAAAGACAATTTCAACCTAATTAGACTTAACAACATGATTCTTTTATTACTAAAGATGCAGGAAGAGTAAATAGAAGCAAAATATACTAAGAGTGTGTTTGGATGAGGTAATTGAAAATTTTTAACGAATTCAAATTCTAAGTAATTTAAATGGTTCAATTGAAATTCATTCATTTTAAAACTCTTTTTGTTTGGATGGAGTATTAAAATGATTCATTCTTAAATTTTTGAGGTCATTTTCATAAATTTAAAAACTTTTGTGAAGATTTAAAATATGAAAAATAGGACTTAGTTTGCAATTTTTGAAAATTTGAAGGGACTAATTTGTAAATTTTAAATTATTGAAATTCTTTGAAAATTTGAAGGGACTAATTTGAAATTTTCATAACATATGAGGACCATCTTGCAAAATTTGAGAAATTAATAATAAACAATTCAATATTTGCATTCTATAGAGTAAATGAGTGTTAGTTGGGATTTTTGTTAGAATCAAATCTCAACACAATAAGGAAAAACTTAGAAAAAGTTGGAACGTTGAAAAGACATTTCGACCCAATTTTCCAGCTAAGGAAGTCG